TCCTTTAGTTTATCATACTACCATCATCAACATTTTAATACATTTTAACCACTTTAAAGGGACATTTCAATTTTATTTTACTTCATATTCATCATCTCCAGCACCACCTCAACACCAACATATGTGAAAATAGCGCATTTCAATGTTTTGTAGTCATAAATAAAATAAAAAATATGCAATTTAGCAGACGCTTTTATCCAAAGCGACTTACAGTCATGTGTGCATACATTTTTTTGTATGGGTGGTCCCGGGGATCGAACCCACTACCTTGGCGTTACAAGCGCCGTGCTCTACCAGCTGACCTACAGAGGACCACCATCAAAAAGATAGAGGAATGCCTACTCATAATAGGTTAAAATCGCATAATGCACACCTATGATGTCATTGGAAATAACATAGAAACGTGCCATTTTCACATACAGTGGGGGAAAAAAAGTATTTAGTCAGCCACCAATTGTGCAAGTTCTCCCACTTAAAAAGATGAGAGAGGCCTGTAATTTTCATCATAGGTACACGTCAACTATGACAGACAAATTGAGGAAAAGAAATCCAGAAAATCACATTGTAGGATTTTTTATGAATTTATTTGCAAATTATGGTGGAAAATAAGTATTTGGTCACCTACAAACAAGCAAGATTTCTGGCTCTCACAGACCTGTAACTTCTTCTTTAAGAGGCTCCTCTGTCCTCCACTCGTTACCTGTATTAATGGCACCTGTTTGACTTGTTATCAGTATAAAGACACCTGTCCACAACCTCAAACAGTCACACTCCAAACTCCACTATGGCCAAGACCAAAGAGCTGTCAAAGGACACCAGAAACAAAATTGTAGACTTGCACCAGGCTGGGAAGACTGATTCTGCAATAGGTAAGCAGCTTGGTTTGAAGAAATCAACTGTGGGAGCAATTATTAGGAAATGGAAGACATACAAGACCACTGATAATCTCCCTCGATCTGGGGCTCCACGCAAGATCTCACCCCGTGGGGTCAAAATGATCACAAGAACGGTGAGCAAAAATCCCAGAACCACACGGGGGAACCTAGTGAATGACCTGCAGAGAGCTGGGACCAAAGTAACAAAGCCTACCATCAGTAACACACTACGCCGCCAGGGACTCAAATCCTGCAGTGCCAGACGTGTCCCCCTGCTTAACCCAGTACATATCCAGGCCCGTCTGAAGTTTGCTAGAGTGCATTTGGATGATCCAGAAGAGGATTGGGAGAATGTCATATGGTCAGATGAAACAAAAAAATATAACTTTTTGGTAAAAACTCAACTCGTCGTGTTTGGAGGACAAAGAATGCTGAGTTGCATCCAAAGAACACCATACCTACTGTGAAGCATGGGGGTGGAAACATCATGCTTTGGGGCTGTTTTTCTGCAAAGGGACCAGGACGACTGATCCGTGTAAAGGAAAGAATGAATGGGGCCATGTATCGTGAGATTTTGAGTGAAAACCTCCTTCCATCAGCAAGGGCATTGAAGATGAAACATGGCTGGGTCTTTCAGCATGACAATGATCCCAAACACACCGCCCGGGCAACGAAGGAGTGGCTTTGTAAGAGGCATTTCAAGGTCCTGGAGTGGCCTAGCCAGTCTCCAGATCTCAACCCCATAGAAAATCTTTGGAGGGAGTTGAAAGTCCGTGTTGCCCAGCGACAGCCCCAAAACATCACTGCTCTAGAGGAGATCTGCATGGAGGAATGGGCCAAAATACCAGGAAAAGTGTGTGAAAACCTTGTGAAGACTTACAGAAAACGTTTGACCTGTGTCATTGCCAACAAAGGGTATATAACAAAGTATTGAGAAACGTTTGTTATTGACCAAATACTTAATTTCCACCATAATTTGCAAATAAATTCATTAAAAATCCTACAATGTGATTTTCTGGATTTTTTTTCCTCATTTTGTCTGTCATAGTTGACGTGTACCTATGATGAAAATGACAGGCCTCTCTCATCTTTTTAAGTGGGAGAACTTGCACAATTGGTGGCTGACTAAATACTTTTTTCCCCCACTGTATGTTGATGTTGGGGTGGTGCTTTAGATGATGAATATGAAGTTGGTGAAATGTCCCTTTAAAATTGACTTTTCAAAGATTCAAATTGCATTTAATTTAAAAGCCCATTTCATAGAGAATATTACAAACTGGACTATATTTAGTAACTTACTTTGAAGTGATTGGGTCTAAATAGGCGTTTGGCATTTGGTAGTCTAAATTCAGTGTACTTGTCTTTAACTGCCATTTCCCAAAAGCCAGACTCTTCTCACACACCAACTCATTTTTCTCAGCTTCAGAAGCATCTGCATTCACCACATTTTGTGTGGTTATCCTTAGATATATTCTCCAGACTTGCCCAGAGGGAATTGTTGATATGTTGTAAATGTTTTTTCCCATTGACTGCTTGAAGGAGAGTTCTCCTTGTCAGTGTGTACCCAGAATGCACCGCACCGCCCATTGACAATACGATTCCAATGGAGTTTTCCATGTCCTGAGAAGTGTCTCTGTCTGAGCTCGTGCTGTGTGCAGTTAATGTGCACTCTCAGTAGCGCTGTCTGTCTCTATTGTGGTGCACTATGCATGCAGCTTTGAGCAACAATTTTGAAGGAACATTTTTTTTGAAGGAAAACTTTTGAAGGAAAACTTACATCACTTACATTTTCATCAGAACAGGACATCATTCCATTTAGCTACTGTTTTTGTTGTAGTGCACAGGTCAGAAGATTTAAGCAAATGATCCCAATTCTAGTAGTAGCAGCTTGTGACTAGTTCATGTTGAAGAACATGGATAAGTAGCCTAGGTAGATCTAATAGCTGTATTATATTTGACATGAACTCAGACCTGGCTGATCTGTTGTTATTGTCTTCTGTGGAATCCATAATATTGTTGGACAGGTTTAAAAGCTCTTTGTTCTTTGTATCCATAGAGCCAGTTCTTTTTTCCTATAGTTATTTTCCCCTCCAATCAGAAATTGGGAGAACACTCATTTAAAATGTTTGAAGCTTTAACAGTACTTGAGTGTGTGTGTTTGTGTGTGTGTGCATGCACGTGCAAGTGTTAAACTTCAAGAACATTGATAAGAGGGAGAAGGCCTACTTTAACATTGGGAGCATTCATTGCTAGCTAGCTGTATGTATGTTACAGTGACTTTTGGGTTGTTTATGGTGAAAATGCCATTAAAACTTTCTGATACAGATTATTTTGTGTTTTTCCCCTTACAATCAAAACATAGTATGCCTATAACAATGCACTGCTTTTTAAATGGAAAATTGTTTATTTAGGGCCAACTTTGAAAAAAATCTTAAATTTAGATTAACCTTGATTAACTAATGCCAATAACTCGATTAATTATTTGAATCGTTTGACAGCCCTAGTCTACATTCAACTGGTAAAAGTTGATTGTGATATGATTAAGGGGGGAAAAAATACCCTATTAGGATGTGGTGCCTGGCCTTAAGAAATGGTCTGACAAGAACTCTAGCTATAAATGTAGAATAAATATTGTTAATAGTTTCCTTATTGTTTAAGATATCAATGCCAAGCAACATGGTTCATCATGGTAATGTTTTTGATGATCCTAAATAGTTAATAAGCCATTGTGGAGTGGATTTACAAAGGATTTAAATGGACACGAAAAATCTGATTTCCTGAATAATTCAACCATCTCTTAACCAATCGCTTAGCTTTTTCAAACTAAGTTAAGAGATGTACCATGGGCCTACATACCGAATGGTGTCATTTGGATTTATGGTTCATGTGAATACGTTTTTCAAAGGTTTTCCAAAATGTCCAAGATGGAGGAAAATCTAGCCTTATGGGTCCTTGAGGCAAATTTGTTCAGCATGAGGAAAAACCTTTACAAAGTTTAAAGTCTTCGCTGTGAACCCCTAATGACAAATGATACTTTTTTTTGTTTTATTAAACTGTTATTGAATAGGAAAACATATTATTGCAAAACATCTATTTTTATGAATTGTAGAAAACACTGGGGGCTAGCAAATTGTCTTGTCCCAATGGTGATGTGTGGAGGTGTAGTGACATGTTTTTAGTAATTTAAAAATATATACACCACCGTTCAAAAGTTTGGGGTCACTTAGAAATGTCCTTGTTTTCTAAAGAAAATTAATTTTCTCCGGGATGCTGACCTTCTAGGCAGTGAAGAGGCGACTCTGGGATGCTGACCTTCTAGGCAGAGTTGCAAAGAAAAAGCCATATCTCAGACTGACCAATACAAATAAAAGATTAAGATGGGCAGGCTGAGATATGGCTTTTTCTTTGCAACTCTGCCTAGAAGGTCAGCATCCCGGAGCCGCCTCTTCACTTTTGACGTTGAGACTGGTGTTTTGCGGGTACTATTTAATGAAACTGCCAGTTGAGGACCTGTGAGGTGTCTGTTTCTCAAACTAGACACTCTAATGTATTTGTCCTCTTGCTCAGTTGTGCACCAGGGCCTCCCACTCCTCTTTCTATTCTGGTTAGAGCCAGTTTGCTCTGTTCTGTGAAGGGAGTAGTACACAGCGTTGTACGAGATCTTCAGTTCCTTGGCAATTTCTCGCATGGAATAGCCTTCATTTCTCAGAACAAGAATAGACTGATGAGTTTCAGAAGAAAGTTATTTGTTTCTGGCCATTTTGAGCCTGTAATCGAACCCACAATTGCTGATGCTCCAGATACTCAACTAGTCTCAAGAAGGCCAGTTTTATTGCTTCTTTAATCAGCACAACAGTTTTCAGCTGTACTAACATAATTACAAAAGGGTTTTCTAATGATAAATTAGCCTTTTAAAATGATAAACTGGGATTAGCAAACACAACTTGCCATTGGAACACAGGATTGATGGTTGCTGATAATGGGCCTCTGTACGCCTATGTAGATATTCCATAAAAAATCAGCCGTTTCCAGCTACAATAGCCATTTACAACATTAACAATGTCTACACTGTATTTCTGATCAATTTGATGTTATTTTAATGGACAAAAAAATAGCTTTTCTTTCGAAAACAAGGACATTTCTAAGTGGCCCCAAACATTTGAACGATAGTGTATATATTGTTTTGAATGCCATGAATTAAATAAAAGCATTAGATGTACTGAATAGATAACCAAAAAACTAAAATTATTAGAAAATAGTTTAAATAACTTGTAGGAATACCTGTCCCTCAATTTATTTTCATTGGTGTTATCGCTTCAAATAAATTTCAGTTTTGAAAACACACAACTTCCTTGAGAATTACTTCCTATGGCAAATGGCTCATTGGAGGAGCAGCATTTATGGAAGCACATGGTGGTTCTGCACACTCTTTTCATATTCTCACCAATTTAAAGATATCTTTGGTAAATTCATGTGTTAAATCAAATGTCATTGGTGTTTGTCATTCTTATGCAAAGGGAATATAATTTGGAGGGGGGGAAAAATGAAATCACACAATTTATAAATGTTTGTATGATTGATGAATTCTGGTAAGAGTGACTGTGGACTTTATCTTGGTTATCACTGGTGTTACTGCTCCTCACTTTTGTTTCTACTGCTGCTGGTAACACCAGTGACTATCAGTAACACCATTGAACTTTGTGTATATGTAAGTTATTATCAAAGTTCATACAAATATGCTATCAACACAAATAAGCATTCAGTATTGTTACAGTATCTTAACCAAATCCTACTGTGTTACTTTTGTCAGGTATGGCCAACTTAAGTGAAGCAGAGAAGCAGAAGCAGTACAACACAGGGAAACTGCAAAAATCACCCTTTTTATATTTCAATTGAGTGTCTGTAGGGGAATTGCAACATATTCCATGGCATTTTCTGTTTTAAGATGTAATAAATGGTTGAAGTTGCTTTGAATAATCATGCGACAAGTAATTGGTTACATTATGTGCAGTGTAACATTGCTGTTTTCTATATGTTATGGTATTTTTACCAACCTAATTATAACATTATTCAAAAGTAAACATATTAAGGATATAATTATTACATTTTGATGTAACTTTTTATTTCTCAATAAAGAAGACCATTTATTTCCAACACTGAGGACCACAGCAGGTGTGAGTGCTGGCGTGTTGGTGTGTGTTGGTGCTGATTGGTCCTTTAGCGGTACTTCTCAGCCAGAGCCAGGGCCAGCAGGGCCAGGAACTTGTCCACGGCAACATGGATCTGAGGGGTGAACTCCTCCGCGAACATCATGGACAAGACCACCAGGATGCAGTGGGACAGAATCTGACGAGGGACAAACAGAGCAAAGAGTCAGTTTGATTATACTGACAAAAGTGCAACGACACCTTCTGCAAACGTTATAGGTAAGCTAATACATGGCCCATACGGCTATGTTGGCTATAGTTCGTGATAATTACCTTGAAGTTGACAGGGTCAACTCTAAGCATGAAGGCGTGCAGCTCGCTCAGGGTCAGGAGACCACCAGCCAGGTCATCGATCTTGCTCACGGCCTCGTACACGCCACCCATGACCGTGATGCCGTGCTTCCTAACCGGAGCGCCGTTGGGGCTCAGGTCCTTCCAGTGAGCGAAGTAAGACTTGGTCTGGGGGTACACCACGATCAGCCTGCATGGAGGAAGGAGAGAAAGGATTGGTTAGGGTAAGTGGTAATTGGGTAATTGCTCTGTCGAATATTTTGTATCTGATAAGGGATGCATTGAATCATTATTTTGCAGTCAGTTTCAGGGATTGGTTTGTATTTTTAGAAATACATATAGGCCCGTTAGATCATATTCTATTAGAGTTATTTAATACAATAACGTCTAATACAATTTCCATAAATCGAATGATTTTCGATAGACTCGACCCCATTGTAGCCTAACTGATGATAAAGTCTCCCAATATTTACCTGGCGAGAGCCTCGGCGCCGATCTCATCCGACCTGCTGGAGACCTTCGCAAAGAAGTCTTTGACGATGACTTTTTCCTTAGCTGATAGGCTCATTTTGGCAAGAGGTTCTGCTATACCACACAAGCTATTCAGAGGATGAATGAAGCTTTAGATGGGTCTGAAGTTAGATGGATCCTGACACCTCTTTTATGGCCCAAGACATACATGTCACCAAGCCCCACCTCTACTCGGTTTCTATTGGCTATGAGGAGATAATTTTGTGAAATGATGAGTGAGATGGAACATCAGTTCGGTGAATTGAGGGTGTTGTCTTGTCTTATCGCTTTTGGCTATATATGGTAACACAGCAAATCCCTATACGTTTGACATAGGCTTCATTACCCAAGTGCATTGCCAGGCGTTGCCAGGCGTTGCCGCCATATCTATTAGAGCTAAATATAGCCTAGAAACATTTATCAAAAAATGTAGCCTCTTTTCATAAAATTGGGACTTCGATATCTTACTATGAAACAGATATGATCTGTTATAATGCAATAATATATCTTACACAATATAATGATGATGAAGACTTACTGCTGCTTGCTATTTGACAATAACCTAAGTATAACGATTGGTCTGTTCTTATGAAAATAGAAAAGTGACCGTTTTATAATTGATTGAGTTGCTAACAGAGGAGTGGTGACTTGATATTAGCAGATGGGGAACAAACAGAATGAAGACCAACATTCGATAGGTTCTCAACGAATAGAATGATTTCTAGAATGAAGTGCCTGATATCGTGATACTGAGGATATGTTATGTAACTTTCTTTATGAAGGTGTTAGTTATGTGGCAGCTGCCTTCTACATCTGCCTGTGGGATGATGAGGAATAATCTGCTTGGGAACAGTATAGCCACAGTGGAGAGACATATGGTTATACATTTTATTGGGATGCTTTCATGAAATAAATGTAAGACGCATATATACGCCTTTCACACATAGACTTTGGCAGATCTTGTCCGGGCCTACTGTATGTGGTTAAAGATAACACTAGGTGTTGCCATTCTTATCTTCTGAAACCCCTCGTAGGTCACAGCTGGAGAGGCCAGGCCAGCTGCTGCAGGGGCCAACATGGAACAGGTTGATGTGGGTCACGTCATGTAGGCTACCTGCTGACCTTAATCATGTATGGATCTGGTATAGGAATCTTGAATCTCATCCCCTTATATAGAGAAAAAAAACTTTGGCCAATGTGTAAAACTTTTTTTTTTTTTTTATGAATATGGGGTAGTTTCCTGCACCAAACAAACTAGCTTTTTCTAAATATAGCCTACATTAGAGGTCAATTGTATCAAACAAAACGAAAAACAAACTTAACAGGGGATTAAAAGTTTCTGGAATATACTGTTTTGCATGACGGATATCAATATGACAACAGCTACAGTACACTCATGTAAATTTAAAGTAAATACTTTTGAAAAGTGCATATTAACTGTTAAAGACAAAAACGTTGAAATTGCGCAATCCATCCATGGTGCATTGATGTGCGTTTTATAGGCCACTTTTTCTTCTCAGTCAAGACATAGAGGTGTATCACTTCATAGTTTTGTTTTTTTATGTTTTATGCATTAATAGTCATATTAATGTTTGTCACGTGTTTTACAGCCAGCAACAGTACGATTCAGCCTGGCCAACTCTGTTGGCTTGTAGGCAATGTGCATCCATTCGCTAACTTGTTCATGTTCTCTAATGTATTATTGAATTCAAATGTTTATAATGTGTAGATCTAACATCTATATATGAAATAACCATTGAACCCTTTAAATGTGTCTTATTCTATTAGCTATGCTTAAAGTGTAATTTGTCTAGGCTTACATGGATATAATTACGCACGTGTAAAAGGAACACACATGATCAACAAACAGATGCTTCTATTCTTATTGTATTTCTTCATTGAAGAGTGAAACACATGAGCACACAGGCTATCTCCTCTGTCAGCTATATGGAGACTGACTCTAGTGGTACTGTTTGCCCAGAGCAGACACCACCACGGACAAGAACTTCTGGAAGGATGCCTGATACTCGGGGGTGAAGGTGTTACCCATCTTCGCGGCAATGACGATGGTCAGACAGTCAGATAACAGCTGTGAAAGAAAACGAACCAAAGCAGAAGTGAGATGTTTAGAATGTATTTGGGGGTAGCTTGATCGAGTGGTGTAATGATATACTTTATACTTTGCACACACAAAAAAAACATTCATTAATTGAACTTCAATGTACTTTTGTATCTTACCTTGAAGTTGTCGGATCCACGTGCAGTTTCTCGGAGTGCAGAATACTCAGCTCGGCGTAGGTGTTCTTGATGTCATCCATATTCTTCAGAGCTCTGTCCAGACCGCGCAGCACCGTGGTGCCGTGCTTAGCAATCAGAGGGTTGTTCATGATGGCCTCTGCGTTGTACAGGTTGCCGAAGCCCCCAAAATACCTCTGGGTCCAGTGGTACACGATCAGACACCTGAGGGGAGCGGACAGAACAGAGTGAGGCTGAACAACAACAGAAAATGACGAAGAGGATGAAGATTAAGCGGACTAACAATCCAAATTAAAGTAAACCTAAGTTTCTTGTTTTACCTTGACAGGGACTTTGGGCCAACGTCGTCATAGTCTAGAAGAGAAGATGTAGGAGATGGCCGCGCGCTCTTCATCTGTCCACTCAACCATGGTTGCTCATAATGATTTAGCTTAGTTTCTAGTGAGAATCGGAAATCTTTATTTTTATGGTATTTACGCACTCCACCCCCAAAACGAAAAAGTGAATATGATTGGTTGTAGATAACCCATCATGCTTTAGATAAAACATAATTGAACATTGTTGAATAGGTCCTCATTTTGGTTGATTTCCGTGAAACAGCAAAAAACCTTGACTTTGAAACCAAAAATAGATTCTGAGGGTAACTCTCAGGTTAAAGCCTATACATACAGTGCATTCAGAAAGTATTCACACCCTTTTACTTTTTTCACATTTTGTTGTGTTACAGCCTGAATTTAAAATTGATTAAATTGAGATGTTGTGTCACTGATCTCCACACAATAATGCATAATGTCAAAGTGGAATTTTGTTTGTAGAATTTTGTTTAAATTAATACAAAAATAAAAGCTAAAATGTATTGAGTCAATAAGTATTCAACCCCTTTGTTATGGCAACCCTAAATAAGTTCAGGAGTCAAAATCTGCTTAACAAGTCACATAATAAGTTGCATGGACTCATTCCGTGTTTAATAATAGTGGTTAACATGATTTTTAAATGACTACCCCATCTCTGTACCCCACACATACAATTATCTGTTGTAAGGTCCCTCAATTGAGTAGTGAATTTTCACAGATTCAACCACATAGACCAGGGAGGTTTTCCAATGTCTCGCAAAGAAGGGCACCTATTGGTAGATGGGTAAAATATATATATTATTATTAATTACACTTTGGATCGTGTATCAATACACCCAGTCACTACAAAGATACAGGCATCCTTCCTAACTCAGTTGCTGGAGAGGAAGGAAACTGCTCAGGGATTTCACCATGAGGCCAATGATTTTGAGACAGTTACAGAGTTTAATGGTTGTGATTTGAGAAAACTGAGGATGGATGAACAACATTGTAGTTACTCCAATAGTAACCTAAACATCAGAGTGAAAAGAAGGAAGCCTGTACAGAATACAAATATTCCAAAACATGCATTCTGTCTGCAACAAGGCACTTAAGTAATACTGCAAACGAGAAATGCAATTTTTGTCCTGAATACAAAGCATTATGTTTGGGGCAAATCCAACACACATCACTGAGTACCACTCTTCATATTTTCAAGTATGGTGGTGGCTGCATCATGTTATGGGTATGCTTGTCATCGGCAAGGACTAGGGAGATTTTTTGGGTAAAAATAAACGGAATACAGCTATAAGAACAGACAAAATCCTAGAGGAAAACATGGTTTAGTCTGCTTTCCAACAGACAGTGGGAGACAAATTCACCTTTCAGCATGACAATAACCTAAAACACAAGGCCAAATCTACACTGGAGTTGCTTACCAAGACGACATTGAATGTTTCTGAGTGACCGAGTTACAGTTTTGACTTAAATCGGCTTGAAAATCTATGGCAAGACTTGGAAATGGCTGTCTAGCAATGATCAGCAATCAACTTGAAAGATTTTGAATAATTTAAAAAAGAATAATGGGCAAATATTGTACAATCCAGGTGTGCAAAGCTCTTAGAGACTTACCCAAAAAGACTCACAGCTGTAATCGCCGCCAAAAGTGCTTCTACAAAGTATTGACTCAGGGGTGTGAATAATTATGTAAATTATATATTTCTGTTTTTCATTTTTTATACATTTGCAAAAAAATCTAAAAACAAGTTTTCACTTTGTCATAATGGGGTATTGTGTGTAGATGAGTGAGACAAAATATATTTAATCGATTTTGAATTTAGGCTGTAACACAACAAAATGTGGGGTATGAATACTTTCTGAAGGTACTGTATGCAACACTATCGGAAGTATCCATATGGCTGACCTCTTTAATAATATAGGCCTACTCTCCATTACTTTCGCCATCATTTTGTGGTTGTGAATCATTTTCATTGCATTTCAATGAGATCTCTCTTATTTATGATTGCAAAATAAGTATGTAGGCTATGGCATTGGCATAGCATTGGTTTCATTGCAACCCTGCCTCCTGATAGTGTACTTCCATAGTTGAAATAACAAGGGCAATTTGATGCCATTTTTGAGATTTCATTAGACCTAATTAAAAGCGTTACAAATAATATTTTAGTTACAATCCTCACATTGGGAACAAGTTTCCCCATCCTCTGACTTGTTATTTGCAACAAACATCTGTGTTATCTCCTACAGTAAGACACTTCCATTTTTGACAAATGAAGCTCAAAAAGGAAAACTCTCGAACGTCATTCGTGCCATGATTGACATTCGTGCGTGTACATAAAAAAAAAAAGATAGGACATTAATGTATTAAATGTGGCAATAGTCCAAATTTAAATCAGTGATGAATACAACATTTGCCAAACGGAGACACAAATGATAACAAGGTTATTTATTATTTAGATGTACATACATGATGGGCCTCACATAAGCCCGATGCGCCTCAGTTGTGCTGTAATATATTGGCACCCTTGCACGATTCACTATTTCTTCTACAATAAGTTGAAATTGAAAAAATATTGTGGTTATCGTGTGTATTTGTTTGACGTACAACTGCACAGGACCAAAAAAACAACTGTGATTGAGATTTTCACTTTAAGTAACAAAAAGGGCCTGTACTAAATTATTCAGAATTCAAATTAATTTGGTTGGAGGCAGGTGATTCTCGCTTGATGTGTAATTTATCTCAACTGTGGTAAATTGCAGGTGCCTACACGGTAAAACAATAAAATAAAAAATAACCCATTCAACCAGAACATTCTGGTCCGTTGCACTCCATTGTAAATTGCAAGGGTGCCAATATATAAAAGCACAACTGTATAGCTACAAGAACATCAAAACATTACTTTAAGCAGTGATAGTCCACGTGGAAACATCTCCTTTACGCACTATGCCATTTGACTTTCTGCCAGGGGCATTGCGTGGCCATGCGCCACAATGATGTCAATAATGACGTGTTTAATAAAACCTCCTAATTAAAATACATTTTTAATACACTTTATGCTTGTAACTTCAACAAATGATATACACTTGGGATCTACTCGGGACGTACTTGTTATTTAGAAATGTATGGTCCACAGCAGACGGTTTAGTTTACACATTTCTATACCCAAAGGGAACTCTGTCACAACTGACCTACATAACTTAATACAGCTGAACAAGTAACGATTTCCTCCTTATTATAGAGTTAACGACACAAGAGCACTCAGATGTGTTTTTGTCAGGTTTTATTACAAAAGAAAAACACACAAATAAAATACACTATAATAAGTTAATGGAACAGCAACATTTGATTTATATTTTGGGGCTATGATGCTCCTTATCTGTATTTCTCTGCAAGGACGGCTGCGAAGGCCGAGAGGTACTTGTCCATGGCCGCGTGCGCGACAGGATCGAACTCATCACCCATGTGAGCGGCCAAAGTCACGAGGATACAGTGACAAAGAAGCTGTGAGAGAAATAAACAAAACACAAAGGAAAAAATCACAAAATAAACCACAAGTGCACTTGTTCACTTCCCTTCATAGATTTTTAAATGAAATGACTGGTATAAGAAATATGGTGGAAACTCCCAGTCTATGCCAACACCAATCCAATGCCTTTACATTTGTGGGGAGTAGTGAATGAGTGCACAATTCAGGGAGGAGTAAAGATTATTAGGCACAATGAGTGTGTTCCAGCAGATGATATAAGTAGGGATAGGGATGTTCTAGGGCTAATATCTTAAGGAACAGTTCATCAAGAGAAATAGAGAAGGCACCTTGAAGTTGCAGGGGTCTATTCTCAGTTTGTAGGCATGCAGTGTTTGGAGCGGTGCCAGGGTGACCATCATCGAGCTGATGTCTTTGGAACACTCAGCTATCGCGAGAACTATCTTCTTCCCGTGGGAACGCAGGTGTGGGGACCCGGGTCTGATGTCCAGGTGGGCGAAGTATGTTTTCGTCCCGGGAAATGTCGTCATCATCCTGTGATACAGTGATAAAGTATAGGTCTGGAATTGGGCATCATATTTGTGACTGACAACAGGTCCAAGAGAGACCTCTGTTGTTGGCTTCATTCCCACCAAGTTTGGGTAAATAGACCATAAACCCAATTTAATTGCAAAATTATTGTAACAGGCTAACCATATAATAAACAAAAATGTACCAATACAAAAAACATATACGTTTTGTTTTCATTCTAAATCCATAACACCTTTCACAAATACATTTTCCAATACCAGAAGCAAAGACAGTTTTTGCCAACGAAATGTCCTAGTTTTATCACCTTTTAGCCTACCATATCGAAAGTGGCATCTTATCAAAAAGGAAGTTATGTTCAGATGTTTGTTATTGCTTTTATGTTATTTACAATTAACTTAGGCCTACCTTAGAAGGCATTCAGCTCCGATGTCGGAAGCCACTGGAATCATTTTGTCCCAAATTTTGGCAATCAGCTCCTTTTCGTGTTTTGTGAGCATATTGTAACCCGTTGCGCTGGTGCTATGCGTAAAAGTTGAATGCCTGGAAGGGCGCACGGCACAGGTCTGCATAAAGGTGTTAGTCAACCATTTTTTTTGCACCACTATAAACCGTCAAAATGCAAGAAAATGACGTTTTCTGGCAATATTAACAACAATTGTCTAAATTAGGTAAACTAAATGGTAATTTGCTGCGGTCGTAGGCCTACTCCTTGCTTCGGGTTGTTTTCCTTCTGAATGCTGCGGAGAGATAACCACGTGAGGGTGGGCAAGTTGCGCAGAAGACCCAACATCTTCTGATATGCGTCATGTAGTCTACTGGGGGCCTCTTTTGACACTACCACACTGTTAATTTGACCAGAAAAAACCCCATAAGAAAATAATGTTGTGTGTGGTTGCTCAACATATAATTTAATGAAGTAAAATGTAGGCCTACTTAAGCCTAATGCATTGTAATAAAATTGACTTAAAATGCACCGAATACAGTGGTTTGGGTGAAAGTGTGAAGTTGCAGTTGGTGTCTCACGAAGTTAACCTACCCCTTAGAAATTCCTTGCTGTGGTTACTGATTTTGACCTCATCCCTGCTCCCCTTATCGTAATCTATACATGCCACCCAGGGCCAGGCAACTGACTTGGCCATGAACCCATATTGTAAACATATTCATGTATATGGGTGATTCTACAGAAGTGGTGTAATTGCTGTCCCACCACCAAAAAACTATATAAAAAACAGTTAACTCTCCAAATGTAGGATTTTGTTTTACATCATGATATGTTCTAATTCATTCCAAGGCAACAACAAACCTATTGTTAAATTAATGTAGTACAAAGTAATTGTTTATACACCTATTTCTATTCAGAGGTGGCTGTCCCACACAAATTCAGAGGTGGCTGTCCCACACCGATTCAGAGGTGGCTGTCCCACACCGATTCAGAGGTGGCTGTCCCACACCGATTCAGAGGTGGCTGTCCCACACCGATTCAGAGGTGGCTGTCCCACACCGATTCAGAGGTGGCTGTCCCACACCGATTCAGAGGTGGCTGTCCCACACCGATTCAGAGGTGGCTGTCCCACACCGATTCAGAGGTGGCTGTCCCACACCAATTCAGAGGTGGCTGTCCCACACCGATTCAGAGGTGGCTGTCCCACACCGATTCAGAGGTGGCTGTCCCACACCGACTCCTAAACTTCATGTTTGAAAATAAAGCAATTCATGATTTTCGATTTCAATAAAACATCTTGAGTTGTTATATTATTACATTGAAAGATACTGATGTAATTAGTGTTTTTGTTTATTTTTATCTTTCTCTGAAAAATGCTGTCCCAACTTTTGATGTCACTACCGAAACACACACTTTAACTGACTGTAGAATGAATGTGCCTTAAGCCCCACCCCTACGAATATCACCAGGTGATGGGATTGCACCCCTCTCCAGAATGGCCACATGGTGAGTAGTCTGCAAACACTTTGGAGAAAATGAGTGAGCAAGTTGGTCAATCTTCATGTATCTTTAAGAAGTGTTACTACTGAACATCTAATATTTCAAGAAATATGTAAAGTATGGTTTTGGGACCCAAATATATATGTTTGCTGTGATGTACTTCTGTCCAAATGAAAGCTAGTCAGCCATATGCTAGCTATGTGGATTCAATTGTCCAAACCGAAATGGTCACAACCTAAACAATTGACACCATATACAGTGAGGGAAAAAAGTATTTGTCCCCTGCTGATTTTGTACATTTGCCCACTGACAAAGAAATGATCAGTCTATAATTTTAATGGTAGGTTTATTTGAACAGTGAGAGACAGAACAACAACAAAAAAATCCAGAAAAACACATGTCAAAAATGTTATAAATTGATTTGCTTTTTAATGAGCGAAATAAGTATTTGACCCCCTCTCAATCAGAAAGATTTCTGGCTCCCAGGTGTCTTTTATACAGGTAATGAGCTGAGATTAGGAGCACACTCTTAAAGGGAGTGCTCCTAATCTCAGCTTGTTACCTGTATAAAAGACACCTGTCCACAGAAGCAATCAATCAATCAGATTCCAAACTCTCCACCATGGCCAAGACCAAATAGCTCTCCAAGGATGTCAGGGACAAGATTGTAGACCTAGACAAGGCTGGAATGGGCTACAAGACCATCGCCAAGCAGTTTGGTGAGAAGGTGACAACAGCTGGTGCGATTATTCGCAAATGGAAGAAACACAAAAGAACTGTCAATCTCCCTCGGCCTGGGGCTCCATGCAAGATCTCACCTCGTGGAGTTGCAATGATCATGAGAACGGTGAGGAATCAGCCCAGAACTACACGGGAGGATCTTGTCAATGATCTCAAGGCAGCTGGGACCATAGTCACCAAGAAAACAATTGGTAACGCACTACGCCGTGAAGGACTGAAATCCTGCAGCACCTGCAAGGTCCCCCTGCTCAAGAAAGCACATATACAGGCCCGTCTGAAGTTTGCCAATGAACATCTGAATGATTCAGAGGTCCCGTGTAGCTCAGTTGGTAGAGCATGGCGTTTGCAACGCCAGGGTTGTGGGTTCGATTCCCACGAGGGGCCAATATGAAAAATCGCTCTGGATAAGAGCGTCTGCCAAATGACTAAAATGAGAACTGGGTGAACGTGTTGTGGTCAGATGAGACCAAAATCGAGCTCTTTGGCATCAACTCAACTTGCCGTGTTTGGAGGAGGAATGCTGCCTATGACCCCAAGAACACCGTTAAACATGGAGGTGGAAACATTATGCTTTGGGGGTGTTTTTCTGCTAAGGGGACAGGACAACTTCACTGCATCAAAGGGACGATGGACGGGGCCATGTACCGTCAAATCTTGGGTGAGAACCTCCTTCCCTCAGCCAGGGCATTGAAAATGGGTCGTGGATGGGTATTCCAGCATGACAATGACCCAAAACACACGGCCAAGGCAACAAAGGAGTGGCTCAAGAAGAAGCACATTAAGGTCCTGGAGTGGCCTAGCCAGTCTCCAGACCTTAATCCCATAGAAAATCTGTGGAGGGAGCTGAAGGTTTGAGTTGCCAAACATCAACCTCGAAACCTTAATGACTTGGAGAAGATCTGCAAAGAGGATTGGGACAAAATCCCTCCTGAGATGTGTGCAAACCTGGTGGCCAACTACAAGAAACGTCTGACCTCTGTGATTGCCAACAAGGGTTTTGCCACCAAGTACTAAGTCATGTTTTGCAGAGGGGTCAAATACTTATTTCCCTCATTAAAATGCAAATCAATTTATAACATTTTTGACATGGGTTTTTCTGGATTTTGTTGTTGTTATTCTGTCTCTCACTGTTCAAATAAACCTACCATTAAAATTATAGACTGATCATGTCTTTGTCAGTGGGCAAACGTACAAAATCAGCAGGGGATCAAATACTTTTTTCCCTCACTGTATAGAGGTCTCATCTTTGTATCTGTGCCATTATGGAGTCTGTGACAGCACGGGCAGCGCCATCGAGGCTATCTCCATTTTAAAGTTGCAAGAGCCATGAACTACCAACTGAGCTACAAGAGGACCACCATGTGGGCAGTTGACAAGTGCACACTTCAGGAAAAAGTGTAGAGTATTGAGATGCATAGCCAGCAGGGGGCTCCAACCCTCCAAGAGCACAAACATTGACGTCTATTTGGCCCAAACATAGACATCTATAATGTACTGTACTGTACTGTACTGTACTCTACTTTACTCTACTGTACTGTACTCTGCTGTATAGTACTGTACTGTGCTCTACTGTACTGTACTGTGCTCTACTGTGCTCTACTGTGCTCTACTGTGCTCTACTGTACTGTACTGTGGTCTACTGTACTGTACTTACTGAACTATACTTTACTCAACTTGACTGTACTGTACTAAACTATAATCATTAACCCATAGGAATCCCCACCCAGATGACTACTTTAAAATATACTGTGCATTGTTCTCCTTTTATTGCAACTTTTTCACTATGTTTCAGTAGTGACAAATTTAGTGGGGTGGTAAGGAATTCAGGACAAAATGTCATATATGCAATACAAACAAAGTGTGTGAGTCTATCTGACATATGTTGGAAGACGTGTGCTGAAAGTTTGGGAGAAATATGATACAAATTAGCAACATTTTAAAACCCCCTATTTGCAACACTTCTGTAGAATGACCCATATATGAGCCATACTACATGTCTCTATATAGATTTTCAACCCAAGCCAGGTTGAACTGAAGGTTTGCTTATCTTCTGGATCAACAATGCGTCATCTAGTGGTTAAGATATTTGCCCATGTTTCTAGGTTCCACAAAATCCTTGAAATATAACATCTGCATAAGTCCAATTCAAGGGACCCAACAAAACATATTACAATAAAACCAAAATCCAAGAGAGCTTGCAACATTTTGTAGGATCATAGTCTTTCTCCTACAGTAGTGTACAGTAGCCTGTACATAGGCTATACATACTGTACTCATACGTATGGGTACAAAAGCAGCCCAGGGTTAGATCTTATACTGACAAATGGAGAAAACAACAAATAAGCTGCTCTTAGATACATTTATGTGTGTAATTATTGCTTTATTTACTATAGAACCACACACTTTTTGTTAAAACCAAATGTACCTATTTTACATTTGTCTGTATATCTATGGTTGGAACTCCAGTGGGCATGGCTCAGGTATGGGAGAGGAGAGGTCAGCCCAGGTTTCTCAGAAAGGGAGGGAGGGGGCTGATAAAGGCCTACAGCTGCCCCTATCAGCAGCACCAGACTGGGGCTCGGGTCAGGGCGGGGCGGGGGCCAGGGCGCTGTGACGCACTGTGTAGAAGTAGGTCGAAGTCCCTAAACACAGATCTAGGATCAGATTACCCCTACCTCCAATTCTAACCCTAACTGTTAGGGAGTTTAAAACATATCTGACCCTAGACCAGTGGTTAGGGCAACTTATACATACTCTGTGTTTATAGGCGAAGCATGAGTTAGCAGAAATTAGGGATCTCTCTGCTAACCTAAC